TAACCAGGTCGTCACTCCATCTAGTGGGAGGTCGCCCTACACTACGCCTACCGGTACGAGGCTGCCACTCGAGAACCTTTCTTCCCCATCGGTTATCGGTTCCTCGAGCTATATGGCCGGCCCATTGCCACTTCAGCTTACTAATCCGTCGGGCTATGTGGGTCACTCTGGTTTTACTGCGGATATCCTCATTTCTGAGTCTATAACGCAGAGAAACTCCGAGCGTAGCCCTCTCCATAGCTCACTGAGCGACCTTGAGCGTTCTCATACGGCCAGCAGTGAAAGACCACGTCTCAGATCCGTAAGTCATCACTGGCAACACGCACTGGTTGTACACTTTAGTTTTCAGAGATTGAGGTAATGCGGAAGTAATTAATTTATTGAAAGATCTACTTAAATATCAGTTTTTTGTAGTCATTAGCTCCAATTTGAAAACTGCCCACTGTGGTTAGAAGACAATTTTCTCAATGCTACAGACAGACACTTTAATTTTTTATAAGCGAACGTATAGATATGAAGATTATATTTTTTGTTAGGTTTGTAAAACCAGACAAGTCTCTTGAAACTAATTTGTATGGAGTAGTAGCGATCGTTTTTAAGACATCACGCGCGTGTTCAGTGATTTATTTATTTTTAAACTAACACAAAAGCACTCACATTTCTTGTTTGTAAGTGGATGCTGTAGACCAAAGACACGTACATCTATCCTCGATTATGAATCAAAACGTACTTGCGATGTCAATTTTTATTTAAAACTAGTGACCCGCCCCGGCTTCACCTAGTTACGATCTTTAAATGTGGCATTATTTAGATTTCATAATAATCATCAAATACCATTTATTTTTATTTAAAACTAGTGACCCGCCCCGGTTTCACCTAGTTACGATCTTAAAATGTGGCATTATTTAGATTTCATAATTATCATCAAATACCATTTATTTTTATTTAAAACTAGTGACCCGTCCCGGTTTCACCTAGTTACGATCTTAAAATGTGGCATTATTTAGATTTCATAGTTATCATCAAATACCATTTACTTTTATTTAAAACTAGTGACCCGCCCCGGCTTCACCTAGTTACGATCTTTAAATGTGGCATTATTTAGTTTTCATAATAATCGTCAAATACCATTTACTTTTATTTAAAACTAGTGACCCGCCCCCATTTCACATAGTTACAATCTTTAAATGTGGCATTATTTAGATTTCATAATTATCATCTAATACCATTTATTTTTATTTAAAACTAGTGACCCGCCCCGGCTTCACCTAGTTACGATCTTAAAATGAGGCATTATTTAGATTTCATAATATTAATCAAATACCATTTATTTTATCAATATTTTCTGTTTTTCTAAAAAAAAGTTTTTTTGGATAAAATATAGCCTAGATTACTTCCGGTATTGACTCTCTATCTATTCCTGTCATTTCATTATGATCGGTTTAACCATTCCGAAGATGGTCCCGGCGGGAATTAAACCCGGATTGTTCGTGTACCGTGAAATTTACAGCGCGTGCTTAGCCCATGGTCTACCACGGTTAATATCTAATATATCGCTTGTGTGTACAAAATAGTGAAAGGTGAACCAATAACTTAGAAGATTACTTCGACCTATTGTTTGAGTTTTTGTCACGGGAGAAAATAATATGCCTTTGTAGCACGTTATATACATCACGTAAATTACAATAGTGTCTTTTTTAAAATTTAGAAGTGAAAGGTCGCAATATGTGGTAATGCAATAGAAAATTATACAGGACAATCCTTGAGATGTGGCCGTTTGAAGTTTGTACTTTTTTTAAGATGTGAAATATTTATTGACATAAAATAGATATACAGAAAAAACAAACGAATAAAAAGAATTATAAGAAGGATTATAATTTATTTTAGAGAAAAATAGTTATAATAGAAAAACGTTTTCAGCGGGAATCGAACTCGAGCACAGAATTTGAAATTATTTTTTTCTTTTTTATTGTTTGAGTCGACTTATTCAAATTTAAAATTAGTTTTTTATTTAAAGTCTAATTTTTTGATCCTTTTGAGAACGGAATATCAAAACTCAAATGTAATAAACAGTTACAATCAAAACTATATCCACTACTTTTTTATCCTCATCCTAACTTATATAGAATCGTCTTTAAACTATAAATTGTTTATTTAAAAAAAAAGAATCATTCAAATCGGTCCATAACTGACAAAAATATCAAGTGACATACAAATAAAACAATATACAACTCCAGTTCGTAGCAGAGAACTTCACATGTCCTCTAAAATATTTTACAAAGAAATATAGATAGAGAAGAGCGAACTATTCAAGTGACGCCAAAACCATGTAGCATACATTTTTAAGCAGACTTCCGTGAGATCACATTATTCATAGAATCTTATTTCATCACTTGATAGAAATAAAATCTTCAATTATACGTGTGCCAAGTATGCGTGGTAGAGCCATGCTGAAACTATATCATAGTTGTAGCACGTATAGGCTGGCTTAACCGGGTAAGGAACACTTTCTCACAGAGTATCGTATAACAGAAGTTTAACGCTGCTGTGCTTCATATGGTAAGTGTAAAGAATCGAATACCATATTTACTGGCAACGAGGCATTACATCTTAGTTCTCAGGAGTGACAAAGCATCAGCATTTCGATTTTTTATCGAGGATAGTAGTTAGTAGAGAGCTCTAGGCCATATTTTATCCGAAGAATTTCATAATGATTTCTTATATTTACGCGAACACTATACATTGATTAAAACTACTTTTACGGATTTTATCGCGTTTTATTTATTTTATTTTTAATACCCGACGTTTCGGGTGCTTTCCAGCACCCATGGTCACGGCGGACTGAGGTGACTGACGTCCCGATGTCAAAGTTAACCCAGAGTACCTTCAGCTTTTTAATTATTGTCTGTGGTCCGATCTACGCAGAATGAACTAACTGTGTTTTGAAATCTTGCAGTGGTATGCTTGGGTTTAGTTTTAATTTTATTAATTATATGATCCCAAGCAGGTGGTAGTACCCAGCCTCCCTCTCTATTGAAATTACGATGTTTTTTAATTTCAATAGCCTCGCGTATCATCCTTGGTAGGAATCGGTGTTTTTTCGCGAGGATTTGTGGTCTATCAAATCTGATGTAATTGTTGGGGCCATCTAGAATATGATCGCAAACTGCAGACTTCCCGGAACGTTGATGCTTCACGTCAGCTATGTGTTCTTTTACGCGGGTTCTAATTGATCTCTTTGTTTGCCCTATATATGAGAGACCACAATCACAATTAAGCTTGTACACTCCTCCATCTTGTAGAGGAATATGACACTTGACGGATGGTAAGAACTGACTAATCTTCTTCGGCGGCTTGTAGAATGTTCTAATAGAAGCTCGCTTCAAGATGTAGCCAATCTTGTCTGTGACACCTGACCCGTGACCCGAAGCTTGTTGTCGTGCAGAACCTGCTTGACGTGCTGAAGCACGGCGGCCAGTTGTTTGCTGTCACAGATCCATCGTGCTCTCTGTAACAAAGATTTGCCCACGGTAGCTAACTGTGAAGGATGATGGTGAGATTCACCATTTAAGTATCTTTTTGTGTGGGTCTTTTTTCTATACACTATACACTAAACGGTAAAAGTAGTTTTAATCAATGTATAGTGTGTGCGTAAATATAAGAAATCATTATGAAATTCTTTGGATAAAATATGGCCTAGAGCTCTCTACTAACTACTATCCTCGATAAAAAATCGAAATGCTGATGCGTTGTCACTCCTGAGAACTAAGATGTAATGCCTCGTTGCCAGTAAATATGGTATTCGATTCTTTACACTTGCTATATTAAGCACAGCAGCGTTAAACTTCTGTTATACGATACTCTGTGAGAAAGTGTTCCTTACCCGATTAAGCCAGCCTATACGTGCTACAACTATGATATAGCTTCAGCATGGCTCTACCACGCATACTTGGCACACGTATAATTGAAGATTTTATTTCTATCAAGTGATGAAATAAGATTCTATGAATAATGTGATCTCACGGAAGTCTGCTTAAAAATTTATGCTACATGGTTTTGGCGTCACTTGAATAGTTCGCAGTTCTCTATCTATATTTCTTTGTAAAATATTTTAGAGGACATGTGAAGTTCTCTGCCACGAACTGGAGTTGTATATTGTTTTTATTTGTATGTCACTTGATATTTTTGTCAGTTATGGACCGATTTGAATGATTCTTTTTTTAAATAAACAATTTATAGTTTAAAGATGATTCTATATAAATTAGGATGAGGATAAAAAAGTAGTAGATATAGTTTTGATTGTAACTGTTAAGATTACATTTGAGCTTTGATATTCCGTTCTCAAAAGGATCAAAAAATTAGACTTTAAATAAAAAACTAATTTTAAATTTAAATAAGTCGACTCAAACAATAAAAAAGGAAAAAATAATTTCAAATTCTGAGCTCGAGTTCGATTCCCGCCGAAAACGTTTTTCTATTATAACTATTTTTCTCTAAAATAAATTATAATCCTTCTTATAATTCTTTTTATTCGTTTGTTTTTTCTGTATATCTATTTTATGTTAATAAATATTTCACATCTCAAAAAAGTACAAACTTCAAACGACCACATCTCAAGGATTGTCCTGTATAATTTTCTATTGCATTACCACATATTGCGACCTTTCACTTCTAAATTTTAAAACATACACATTACAATTTTTATCACATAATATCATGTATTATCATCACTATTATCATCGTATCAGCTCTTGCGATGTCCACTACTGAACAAAAACCTCTCCACAAACACGGCTCCAAACCACTATTATGGATTTATTTTTGTAAAAGAATATTACTTACATTACCGATTTTTATAAAACAGAAAACACAAGAAAAATATAAAATAAAAAAGAGAAATTAAAACTGTGCTAAATATTTCCAATTAACGTTATTTTTTTTTAATTTTAAGTAGAGCAAAAGTAAAAGCAAACATTAAGGCTATAATTCAAATTGCTTACCGTTTCCGTAAACTTGGTTATGTTCATTGTATTTACATAAAATATAAAACGTTTTGTGTTGCCGTTGCGCGATCTGCGCTATTACTGAGTGCTCGTGCGCAGACTTCGCGATTTTTTGCGGCTCAGAACGTGTTTTCCGTATATGCCTTATACATTCGTAGATTATGTTTTTTTTTTTGGAATATATTTGAATTTGAAATTAAGACAATAGGTATCAGTTGATTAGATTTTTTTAGCTGTGTCCCATTACCACCTATATCTATCCTCGATATATAATCAAAATAAAGAGGCGTTTGTAACCCGAGAACTGAGATAGAATACCTCGTTGCTAGTGAAAAGGGTCTACGGTTTTTCTCACATTTTCTTTCGATTTACCTACGCAGCATTCCATCTTAGTCCTCAGAGCTGAAAACGCATCAGTAGCTTTCTTTGTTTGAAATTGAGTACAGGTGTCTACGAACTGTACTAGCCACTTACTGGCCTAAGTGCTCGTATCGTTTGTTATTATAGAAATTATTGTAATTATAAAACTATAAAATAAGTTCAATTTAAATGTGATAAAACCCCGTGTAATTAGTTTTAGTAACTATAAATAGAATAAGAGCTTCGTAACGAAAAATAGAATTTTGTGCGAACCCCATTAGACGGAGTAGGTAACGTCCTTATCAAAAATGTGTTCGATGGATGAAGGTTCGTGTAAATGTAAGAAATCATTGTTTTTTACGGCTTTCGTAGAATGTTGTTCATGAAATCAAAGTTTCCTTAATTATGAACACATATCGCCTAATGCAACACGGAACTGTATTACTCTGCGACCTCTGAACTAAGCTTAGATAAAGATCACGTGCGCTCACTAAATTGGAATTTAAGTCCGACGGAATTTATGCGACGACTAATTGGTTCTGTAGCTGGAATAATGAGGAGACGGGAAATGAATTTCAGTTGTTCTGCGTGAATACTTAATGACAGCAGTACTTAATTTGTTGCATTATTCACTCTTAGAGCTACCGTAAGAGTATTTTCTTAAGAATAATAAAACCGGCTAAAAGCGTGTCGGGTCACGCTCAGTGTAGGGATCCGTAGTTTCCCGTCCGTCACAATAAGTGTTCCCACTTATGAGTTTAAAGGTGGGTATCCATCATGTTCGCGCTCCAGCAGCGCTCCGCACTCCTGCAACTGCTCCCGGTAGTGAGTACTGTTGTTTCCATCCAATTTCAAAATGATTTTCCTAGAAAGTACTTATAAAGTTCTATTTTCAGATTTTTTCATATTTTCTAAACTTATGGTTCAAAAGTTAGAGGGGGGACACATTGTTTTTTACTTTTAGAGCGATTATTTCCGAAATTATTGACATTATCAAAAAATGATTTTAGTAAACCCCTATTCATTTTTAAATACCTTTCCAACAATATATCACACGTTAGGGTTGAAATTAAAAAAAAAATCACTTCCCACTTTACATACAGGGGGGCTACCCTAATAAAACATTTTTATTTTACCACTTTGTCGGCGTGATTGATACACATATTGGTACCAAATTTCAGCTTTCTAGTGCTATCGGTCACAGAGATTAAGCGAGGACGGACAGACGGACAGACAGACATGGCGGAACTGTAAGGGTTCCTAGTTGACTACGGAACCCTAAAAACTAATTACTTCTGACTTAAATGAAAATGTACGTTTTGAATGTGATGTATTTTACTAAGAAAGCTAATAATGTCGATATTGTTTATGCCTGATTTTTTAACGAGGTACAAGCGCGCGTTAAATAATCATTCAATGCGAGTAATCCGGGTCTCCGCAAGCACAAAAAAACACGCTCAAGGTCGTCCCAACTATTACGTCTGACTTGATAGACCATAAATTCTCGCAAACGTCGATTCCTACCAAGGATCATTTGCGAAGCTATCCAAAAGCATCTTTATTTTAATAGAGAAGGTGGCTGGGTACTATACTACCATCACCAAGGAATCCCATAATCAATATAATTAAATACATACCAAAAAATATTAGTACAAAACTTCAAGATACTGTAAGCTTGTTCTGCGTTCTTAGGCCAACTATTAATATTTAAACGTTAAAGGTAGCCTTTGTGAACTATGACATCAGGACGTCAAACATCCCAGTCTGTGACCATGACCAAACGTGCTGTAAAGCACTACTAAGCAATCCCTAAATTGGTTTCATTTAATGAAATTGTTAGTTGCAATTTTTAGTGGAGTTTTACTATATGCTCTAAACTATATGAGGAAACCCATATTCGAACTCGCTACCTTAGCTACTGCGCTACATGAATAACATCAGGACCTCGGCAGCTAATTTAAAAACTTAAGGTTACATATGCGTGGTAATTCTATCTAATTAAATGCTTTCTTACCAACAAGTAATTTTTTTGTCTTCCACCATATCACAACAGCATTACGTTGAAATTTTTAATGATTATTTTAAGTAATTGTGTCTTCTTTTTATTAGAGAACGGTGACAAACACGTAAACTGTCTACCTGATGGTGAGGGGATGCTGTAGCCTGTACACCTACATCCATCTTTAATTAAGAATCGCGTTGTTACGAAAAGCATTGTCACCCTTCAATGGAATGCCTAGTTTCCAATAAAAAGGGTGCCCGGTTATCTACGAGTACACTCACCATACGAAACACAGCGGTATCATTATACCACTTTTGTATTATGCAATAACGTGATCCCACACGTGGTACAACTAGAATATAGGTGCAGCACAGCTCTGCTTATATATATGTATATTTTTGCCTATATTTTTTAACTTTGTTTGAAGCTTTGTTACTAGAAAATAACAAGAATAATCTATTGTTAAATTTTATGTAGTCTTTATTTTAGAGATTTTAGTTAAAGTCCGGCTTTTTTGTAGCACGAATGGGTGCCTGGTCTGTGCCGTGGTCCTTCCCCGGCTCGACCGGGGAAGGACCACGCTCTCACAGAATACCAGTGTGAAATGGTTGCTTAATGCTGCTGTATTTCGTATGGTGAGTGTAGAGAATCGGAGAACCTTTTTACTGGAAATGAGGTATTCCATCTTAGTCCTCACGGGTGACAACGCAAAAACCTTGGGGAAGCACGCGCCGCGGCTTGCAGCGGCTTGCTTTGAGTCGGCCATTTCAGTATGACCTCATATCGACCGTAGACTATTATTTATTCTGTGACGTAGATAATATTATGTCGGCACGTGTCGGTAAGTCCAGAAGCAAATAACATTTTTAGAAATTTAATATATCTTAAGTTATCTTATTAGAAACCTAAAAACCCCATTTAAAGCAACCAAAAAAATTTTCATTATCATAATTACCATGCCTATGTGTACACCTATACGTCCCTGAAACGACCAACAGGGTTTTTGTTACATACTGTATATATGGGCGTATGTATGCACATATGTGTTCATTTAATAGCTGCAGTTATTTGTTTATAATTTAAGGAAGTTAAAAATTTTGTAATCAATTTCTTACATTCACGATAATAAAATTGACTTTATATTTTATTTTGTTCTATTTATTAATACCCACCCAGTATTACTAATCACAAATAATCACAATATCTCATTAGTTAAAAAGGTAAAAAATATCTATTTAGTTACTAATGCTATATTTATTACTTTAATAATTAGCTACCCTGTAGGTAAATATTAAAATAATAAATGTAGCATTAGAAACAGTAAATCTCCCTCAAACTCAATTTACTAATATTGTTCCTAAATAAGGAATAGCAGATAAAAGATTAGTAGGTAATAACTATTGCTCCTCAAAATTATATTTTACCTCAAGGTAAAACATATCCTTAAATTCAGTAGCTAAATAAAATAATAATACCTACTATTCAAGTATATTTTCAATATGTAAGTAAATGAAAATAACAAAAATTAGCATGTAAAGTTCGAATCCATAATTAAAATTTCGACAAATATTATAATTTACTCTATAAAAAGCTAATTCAATATTGGCAGTATAGTATATAGTTAAAAATAATCAAAATAGTCATTTTTATTAATTAGATAATATATGAGAATACATAATTCTAATATAATGCAACTAATATACCGAATAAAGAAAATTAAAATACACATATATTGTCTGCCGTGTCTATTTCCATGAAATAGTTCATTGACATTGATAAATTAATACTACGTTCGTACCAGTAGGTGGCGTCTTGCAGATTTCTACGCGATATATTGTAGCGAGAGCGTCGGCAGGCCAAACGCTCAAGGTCGTTCGTTAGAGGTAAAGCCTTAATCTGAATTGTCTCCCATGCAATGAAGGCTGCAATGATAACTCCGACTAGGTACTTACGAATTGCACTACGGGACTTTTGCAGGTCTGTCGTTGCTAAGTACGATGTCCGCATCTCATTATTGATGTCACGTGCTCTGTTGACGAACGGAAGTCCAACTTAGTATTCGACTTACGCGTACTATATAGTAACACGCAAACTTGTTTAACGTTTTTCTCTTTAACAGTTGTGTGAAATGTTCCTTGACGTGGTAGATTGTTATCTTTAGCTAAATATGTCCCTACTATAAATGATGATTCGCCAGTTGTAGTGGAGTTAGGCCTCTGCTTGCACAATCTACTGCGTTATGTTCAGATTTGACGTGCCTACAGCATCCCGATGGCATGATGACGTGATCTGTGTTACGCGATTTGTCACAAATTTAGTCCATATTGAAGGTCGCCCGTGTAACCAACCCATCACCATCATAGAATCTGTCCAATAATGTATTGTTACAACCTGTGAGCTTAGTGACTCTATGACCTGAGGCACCGCATAGTTCAAGGCGTGATAAAGATGGTGGTTTTCTTAATGATGCGAGCTTAATTTTTCCAGCCACCAGCTTGATAATTTGTTGCCCTTCTTTATCAATATATTAATATCAATAGATTTACAGTAGATAACGTAGCGGTAGGCTTTCTTGGAGGCGTCACTGAATAAGTACATGTAACTCGATTATTTGTTTAGTGTTACCAATCCAGCGTTGTAACATTTAAATTTTGTCATTTAT